AACTTTTATTTATAATTTTTATATGTTATTAAATTAATAATTACATATATAATATTACAAAAAAAAATATTATTATTAAATGACCGTGGGAAGTTGTATAATAAAATTCTCACTTAATTATTTTTTCATAATATATATGTTAAATTCATAAATTTACAAATATAATTTATGCAAAGGTTACATGTGTGAGTAGGTATAAGATCAATTGGTTAAGAATATAGAAACTGAGACCTCGTAAATTGATAGGGTTTCTGTACACTTTGTACTTAATTACTAAATAATCTTTAATTTCTTTGGTTATAAATAATCTTTGATATAGATAGGCAGGTCCCAACTCCAAACTAATGGTATCAGCATTAGTAAAAGGTGTATGACACTTGGGAATATAAATTTAAAGAAGGAAGAGGAATCAATAAATTTAAGAAGAAGAAGAAGAATAAGCAATCAACAACAACAAGGACATGGCTGTACCAGTCTCCACTGATACAGATTCGAAAAGGTTAATCAAAAGGGTGGTCCCAGGCTGTTTATTCTTAATTCTTCCCAAATTTTCATCCAGTGTTTGCATGAAAACATCATGCAAATTTTATTGGCTCTTTTTTTATTTTTTTAAATTAAGGGCCAGATATTTGATATAATATGTATATATTTGTCTGTAAAGTTTTTATTATTACAATATCACGTAATATTATATATTACATATATACATTCGTTTATTATCATATCATTATTATAAACTTACAATTTTACATAAAATTATAATTATATTATTTTCGATTTGTTTGATATCATATGAACAATGTAAAATTCATAATTCATAATGATTTTTATTGTCAAAACAACCGGCTAGCAAAGGATATATATTCATGAAGTTAGCTCATCATATATTTGATTAAAGTAGTAGTTAGAATTTCATCAAAATAATCTCTGATCAGTCATAAACCCATGTAATCACGATTTTAATTGGCATTTGATGACTATTAGCGAAGTATGATTTATTAGCATTGTTGAGACAATATATATATATATAGGGTAATAACATGAAGACGTAAAAATATACTAGATCAAACGATAGATACGGCTGGCAACGGCCTGCAGCTTGCCAAGGGGGTAGGAAAATTAGTTTTAGTAATACCTAGATAATTGAGAAAAAAATGGCGAGGTCTAGGTTTAGAGTGCAAGACGACGGGACGTGGGACAGCGGCAACTCCAGACGACGGGACGTGGGACAGCGGCAACTCCAGACGACGGGACGTGGGACAGCGGCAACTCCAGACGACGGCAAAGGCAGCATCGGAGGACTGGGGAGTTTGGGAATTGGAATCAGGGACAGTCATTCTTCTTCTATAATTTCCCAGACAATTGGGACGCAAAGGCTTTGTGGCATCGGTTTCAAGAGTGTGGAAGGGTCGGTGATGTGCTTGTGCTAGCAAAGAGGGACAAATGGGGGAAAAGGTTCGGTTTCGTCAGAATGTTAGGGGTGCAGGATGTTCAAAATCTGGAAGCGAGATTGAATCAAATCTACATTGGTTCTTATAAACTGCGAGTAAAGATAGCCATCGATAGGGGGCAAAATGGAACAGTTTATCAGAAGGAAGCCGAAAGGAAGGAAGCTGAGAGGAAGGGTGGAATCAGGGCGTAGAGTTTAGTCAAGCCAGGGCGGTCTTATGTTCAGGCGGTCAAGGGATACTCTTCGAGGGCAGTGGGTGCCCAGGTTTGGAGGAAAACTGTAGGGGTGTAGGAGAAAGCTGATCCCGTGGACAGGGCGTCCATCGCTCCAGGGAAGCCTTTGGGGCTTAAGGATGCTAGATCCGGTGAAAAGGTAGGTGGAGCTATGGATGGAGAAACGAAGGAGAGTATCATTGACTTCTCCCCATCCAAAGAGGAGAACGTGTGGCTAGAATGGGGTGTTGTAGCGGTTGTGAGATCGATGTCAATGATATCCAATATACAAGAGAGAGTAGACATCGATGGAGGTTTGATTAATCTATCTCCATTAGGAGGGCGGAGTGTATTGTTGACTGAATGTGTGGAAGGTTACTTGAGTGAGTATATACAGCATAACAAGGAATCATTTGATCTTTGGTGTGAGATTATCTATCCTTGGGCTTTGGCTCCTCTGAATGGTGGTAGAATGGTCTGGTTGAGAATTTCTGGTGTTCCATTAAAAGCATGGTGTGACAGATGCTTTGAGTGGATAGCAACATCGGTGGGGGAAGTGATAATGCTTCATGCAGATACCAAATCAAAATCTATATTGTGTGATGGAAGAGTTTTAATTTTATGTGCTGAAAAGCATAAAATCGCAAAGACCATGAAGCTGAAGGTGGAGGAGAAGCTGTATGAGATAATGGTGGCGGAGGAAGAGTGGCGAGCCGATCCGGACTGGTGGTTGGAGGACGATGATCGAAACCATGAGACATCATCGGGATCGAAATATTCCTCGTCGGAACAGGGAGAGGAGGAGCCAGAATTGATGGCCTCCGTGATTCGTGGCGATGATGAAGCAGCTATTGAGGATGAGTTAATGTAGGAGAAGGGCATTTTGAATTTAAATGATGAAGAAGTAACAGTAGCCAAGCAATGGGAAAGAGTGGAGGAGAATGGGCCTGCTTCGGAATCGGGCTTGAGGCTGGACTCCATTTATGGGCCGAAAGAAGGGACTGGGCTAGATTTGCGTGCAAGCAAAACGCAGGTATCAAGCGGATTGGGGTCTACTACAGTTTCGGGTAAAGCAGGGGATCAGCAAGGTGCATCTGGTGGGGAATTGAATAATAATTTGCATTCGGGTATTAGGGATTCGAGAGAGAGGAAGAAAACAAATATCAAAGATTGCTACCCTCAAGTGCAGGCAATCAATTTTGCAACGGGCTCCCAGTGGCTTTCAGGAAGATCAACGCTAAGATCACACAAAACACACAAAGCACAGCACTTGTCGGCGACGCAGGAGCAGGGTGTTGGCTGTTCTTCGCTGTCGGATGGGTGTATTGCCAACCGAAATCAGGTGATCCAAAGAGAGCTGAATCTACAAGAGGTAAGGAGGATATTTAGTGTAGGGAAAAGATTGGGTATTCAGTGGCAAGATAATGAAGAGGAGGTTCAGTCGAGGTTGCTAGATTTGGAGGTTCGGGAGTGTGGGCAGGGGAAGGTGCAGTAAGGGTAGGGGCGGTCGAGGGGGAGGGG